GCTACGAACAGAAGAAGGGCATGGATGAAGCACAGTATCAGGCGTACCGATGTCTATTCTTCAGTAAACCCCACAGTCCCCAGATCTCGACCGACGATTTTTATCTGAAACCTTAGCAGCACGTGGTTGTAATTGAAGGCAGACAGCAGACATCCATCGGACTCCCCCGCAATGTGATTATGGCTGATTTCATCTATTCTCTTTGCGATCTCGTCACCTAACAGCTACCGGGATCCGTGACATTGTACTGTCGACGCACGGGAATAAACATATCGGCCGTCAGAAACCACGCATCTTCCGTCCATGGCCTCAGCATTGTTCGCGTGGACTGGCAATACTGCCATGCGTCAACGCCAGCACTTCATATCCTCACTATTTCCTTGCTATAAGTCTAGGTGAAAGGATTCATTCGGACTGGCGACGTCCCTGAGATCTTCCCGATGACACAGCATGAAACCTCCGCTACAATATGGGGAACGTAGGTGAATAATGATCAAAAGTGAAGATCAAGGGCAAAATATATTGAGAGAAGAAAAAGTATTTACTGGGCTAGTATATGGGCCGACATGTCCAAAAGCCCCACTCATGAGACTCGTATTTTGTTTCCAACACATCATCTTCATCGACCTTCGTTCATCAATCACTCAGTAGATGACCGGCCAGCCACTACTGTCGTAACGAATGAGGTTGATGCCGAGCTGCGCAGTTCCTGCGTTGTTGTAGTAGTGGTAGACCAGCACATCGCCATCACCGTCGGAAAAAACAGCGTTGTGGCCCGGACCGTGGACGAACCCGTGGCTCGACATCATCTCCGTGCCGCCACCCTGCATCATCTGCTTGCCGCTCTTGTCGACGTAAGGCCCGGTCACACTCGTGGACCGGCCGACCATGATGCGGTAGGTGCTGGCGGCACCCTGGCAGCACCTGTCGAAGGACACCCATAGGTAGTAGTAATTGCCTCTGCGGACGATGAAGGGCGCCTCGACAGCACCTCCGTTATCAGGACGGGAGGCAATGGAAGTGATCGCGTTGTTGGAACGCTTGCCTGTCTTGGGGTCGAGTGCCACAATCTTGATGCCGGACCAGAAGGATCCAAAGGAGAGCCACCACTTGCCGGACGCGTCGACAATGAGGTTGCCATCGATGGCGTTGTAGTTGCTGTTGTCGAAAGACTCAATGACGAGGCCCTGGTTGGTCCACGAGCCAGACAGCCCTGTAGTGCTTGTGGCGAGGAAGATGGCCGAGCGGCTGGACCCGAAGCTCGAGGCGGAGTAGTACATCAAGTACTTTCCGTCATGGTAGGAAATATCCGGAGCCCAGAGGTTCTTTCCCCCCTTGGTGTAAGTGGTCGTCCACGGTGCGCCGTTGGGAAATGCCGGGCCGGCGTCGCGCCAGTTGGTGCGGTCGCTAGACGTCTTCAGCTGGACGTTGTCGCCGGTGTAGGCAGCCAGGTATGTTCCGCCGGGAGTCTTGACAACCGTAGGGTCGTGGATAAAAAGGTCGCCAGTGACATGTCCTGGGTTTACATTCTGTCTCGGGACAAGTGTGTGAGCCATCGTGGACATGGCCAGCATGCCGCTGACGGCAAGTTGCCGGAGTGACACCATCTTGAAATTGGAAGGGAAGGCTTGGGGATGAAGTAAAAGGTGGTGGCGGTGCGAGAGCATCATCGAGCTCACCAGCAGCGTTGCCAAACTGCTGCCTTTCTCTTTATAAGGCTTGCCCTGCTGACCCCTTGCTTGGTCAAGAACTCTTCCGGCATTCGTCCAACGACCTAGCCATCGTCCGTCCCAGTCCACGTATGCCCCTGTGCCTTGGTATCAACAGTCGCGGGAACACCCCGCTTCCTTTCTGTCCTAGCGCCCCTCGGAGTAATTGCCAAGTGGACTTCGGCACTCGGCTGTCAAGGGTACCGAGCGCTTCTTGCTGGTATTAGAGATGTCTGCCACTCATTTTCCCTTCTCTGCTGCTCAACGGAGTCAATTCTTCCTTCAAATCACAGCTATCCCTGTACAAGAAGTTGACGTGTCGTGGCGCTATATCTCCTATCGTGTGTCGTGGAGGAAACGAGTGCACCTCACTGGTGCAAACAAGCATAGATTCCTAAACTATAGCTCCGCTGGGCCGGCTTGATCGGGATGCCACATGGCTTGGGTTGCGGTCCGATCCTCAGTGACCAAGGGCCCTGAAACGTCCGTGAGGTTTATTCTGGAAAACTCTCAACTGGCTTTCGGTGCTGTGGCGGAAAGTTACGATGGTTGGGCACACGAGACCTCAAGAAAAGAAGCCAGCGTTAATGTCGTCATTGACCCCCTGTAGCGATCACTCCGAAATTGGAGGACCAGAGGGAGATTGATGGCGGTCAGCGGAGGTTTTTGGAATTAATGCGATTGTTCTTATGGCCTTCCCGCAACCACGCAAAACTGCCAAGGCGTGCGGCGATTTATCCCAGGGCTGATTGCAGGACAAGAGCTCGGGAGACTTGAAACACAAACCCTACCTGCGCTGTCGACCTGCTCATGCTGCGCAATCCAAATTTGGGCATGCACCCCGGATTCCAACCATCCAAGCCTCGCCATCAGTTCTCGCCACACCAACGAAGGGCAAATACGGGGAAATACCTCGTGTGATACCCCAGAGACCGGCATGCGAGGTACGCTCCGTGCCGCACCTATCAAGCGGCTGCCGAGTTTGCGCGTGATGTATCTATCAATCGCTATTGATAGGCGTTGCATCTAAGAGAAACCAAAAAGCGTTGACTTTGACCCGCTCCACTTGTAGTCTCTGTAAGCCGCGGTTACTTCCATCGGATTGGAGCGCATCCATCCAGATTAACATGAGAGCCATGGCAAACTCGGTGGCTTACTTCCGCTTCGGACATGGATTAGCCTGGGTCGTCAACATCACCGCGCGGCTTCCGCGAATAGTCTTTGGCGATCCATGGATGTGAAGTCACGAAGTTGCAACACGGAGGCTTTTTGCAAGATCCATGCACCTTGGAAAAGGTAGTCAAGTCACCAGGCGGAGCTTACAACTATTTAGTGAACCCAAATTGGCCGTTGCAAATGGAAGATTGTGCGACCCAACGCTCTTGCTCGTGCTCTTACAGCCCAGCACATCATGTTCGTTTCCACGATTCTCAGATACGCATGCGGGCTCCTTGCCGTGGCCGGCTCTGGTAATGCCTTTACCAACCCCATCAGGGCCCCCGGCGGTGCTGATCCACAGGTCACTTGGACTGGCGGATACTACTATCTCATCGCCACCGAGTGGACCGACCTCAAGCTCAGTCGTGCTCGCACCATTGAAGGGCTCAAAACCGCCCCGAAGCGAACCATCTACACCGATACGAACCCAAACAGGTGCTGCAACGTTTGGGCTCCAGAGCTACACTATCTCGGGAATCGGTGGTACATCTACTACACGGCGGGACAGAGTGGAAGCACTAATCTGGGTGGCCAGCGGTCCCACGTCTTAGTCGGGAAGGTTTTTCAGAGTGTTGTGGTGTTACTCTGCGTATGCTAACTCGGTCGTAACCAGGCGGCGCCACGCCCTGGGATTCATGGTCCTACGGAGCTCAACTCACTACCGATTGGGGCATCGACGGCACCATTCTTCGTTTCAACGATTGGGGCAACTACTTTGTCTACTCCTGTATGACTGGTGTGCCCAACCAGTCGACCTGCATTCGTCGTCTTGGCAGCAACTTCATCTCATTGACCGGCCCACTCAGCATCATCTCGCAGCCGGACCAGTCGTGGGAGAGAAGTGAGGTACCCGTCCAGGAGGGCCAGAATGCTCTGTACTTCGGGGGCAAGACCTACATCGCCTACTCTGCCAACTACTGCTGGACGCCTCAGTATTGCGTGGCGACGCTGGAGTGGGATGGCCGGACTGACCCCATGAACCGTGCTGCCTGGAAGAAGAGCAGCGGCTGCGTCCTCTCCAGCGCCAACGGCAACTATGGCACTGGCCACAACAGCTTCTTCATGAGCCCTGATGGCAAGGAGACGTGGACGGCTTTCCATGCCACTACGAACTCGAACGGCGCCTGTGACAACAACCGCAACACCATGGTTCAGCCTCTGACTGCCAATTCGAACGGGACGCCCAACTTTGGTCGCGTGCAGAGCAACAGCTACCAGTGGAGGGAGCCGAGCGGCACCCAGTAAGGGTGACAGGTCATACCGGTTCCCTTTCCCGTCTTTTGATGCTTGCTGGCTTGCTGCTTCGTAGGCGCAATCATCGGACGAGATCAACACCTGGACAAGATAGCTTCACCGAATGAATAGTACATTTACGTGCCCATGAGACAATCTACGGGTCGTGAAAGACCATTGAACCCCGTTGTACAGCCATGCAAGGCATGTAGGAACGCAAGAACAGCTTTGTCGGGGTGTTCGCAATCTGAACTAGAACCTGCGCCTGGTGTCACCCAGTCGCACTGGCCCCAAGTCTTGCGCCCTAACCAAAGCGCACATGCCTCTGTTCAAGCTTGACGGCCCCAAGCTCTCGACAGGGACAAATTTGACGGCGAAGCTGTTGAGATGATTGTATGCTTGCGCCTGAAATGCAACTCTTGAACTCGCCTTCAGGCCAGGTACAACAACCGATCAGTCTCGGCCAAGCTCGACCACCATTCTGTCTCTCACGGCGGCTAGACTCCCAAGCCAAGGCCCTGTGAGTGTGCGCAGTGTCACTCGTTCAGTTAGCTTTTTGCCCTATAACTACAGGGTCAGCAGTCATGTGCCATAAACCGGTTGGCGTGGCACGGCATAGGTGGCCGGAATCCATCAGACATGACGTAGGGAGAAGAAGATCGAGGTTACACAATGTTTAACAAGACAACACATGCGCCGTCAGCGAGTGAAGATCAACCGCAGATGAAAAAAAGAGGTATCATAAGCTCCAGCGGCCAGCTGGGCAAAGGTCTCGCTAACGCCAATGGAAATCTAGCAAAAAGAATGTCCGTCCGACTCTGTTTGTCATGCTCTGCCAGTCTACTCGTCTACAACACACTTCTTCTCGATCCACCTTGCAAACTCGACGCACTTGTTGTCGACGACCCGGAGAAAGATGTCGCTCACCCAGAACACGGGAATCGCCATGATGGTCAGCCCGAAGAACCAGACGAGGAAGCGGCCGCCCATGTCAGCGCCCTGGATGCCGCCAACGGGCTCCCAGAGGTAGGGCATCAGGCGGTGGTGGAGGACCTTCATGACGGGGCCGTGGCAGATGTAGAGCGAGTAGCTGACGTCGGCGAGGTACTGGGCGGGCTTGGTGTTGAAGACGCGGCGCAGGGGCTCGATTTGCTGCAGGGCCAGGACGATCTGCACGGCGCCGATGGCGTACCAGATGAAGATGGGCCACGACTGGCCGCGGCTGCGGTAGGGCTCGGGGGTGTGCTGCAGCAAAAAGTCGATGGCGGGCGTCTCCTCCCACTTTTCGCGCGGCCAGCCGGCGACGTAGAGGGCGAAGATGAGGTTGACGATAAGGAAGCCCTGGAAGATGAGCTTGGCGACGCTCCGGCGGCGCGAGCCGTCGGCCGTCGAGTCGGAGAGGCCGGCAGTGCCGACGCTGGACTCGATGTAGGCGGCCTCCTTGTTTTGTTCGAGAGCGGCCTTGCGCTCCTTGTGGGCGTCCTGGATGAGCTGGACCTCGGCGAGTACGACACCAGCCATGAACTCCCAGCCGGCATAGTGGCCGTGGCGTAGGCAGAAGGCACCGAGACCGACGACGGCGGCGAGGCGAACATACGTCTTGACGTGGCTCAGGCCAGTGACGACGACGAAGAGGAACATGGAAAAGGACATTTCGATGGGGATGGTCCAGAGGTGCGAGTCGTAGTCTGGGGTCCTGGACGAGTCCCACTGCCAAATGAATCCGAGAATCTTGATCACCTCGTGCTGCCACTGGTCAAACTGCTCGTAAAGAGAACCCTTTGCTTTGCGGGGGATCCAACCGTAGTAGCGAAGGAACATGATGATAAAGGTCGAAACGAGGGTTGGCAGGAAGAGGCGGAAGCCTCGACGGAAGACACTGCTAGCGAGTGTCTTTTGAAGGCTGTCGAACTGACGTGCGCGAATCTGACGCAGCGGCTTGTAGGCGAGAACGAAGCCCGAGATGACGAAGAAGATATGGACCATCGGTTTGCCGGCGAAGATGACGCGGAGAAAGGGCAGCTGCAGGGGAGAAGAGGCGGCTTTGTCGCCATCACGTTGTACGCCGTAGGACATGAGGAGACCCTTGTGGGTGTCGTCGGTGAAGTGGAAGAAGAAAACAATAAGCGAGGCTACACCACGAAGCCCGTCGAGCCACGATGTTGGGTGCATTCGTCGAGGCTTGAAGGCACCAGGGCGGATGCGGCTCTGGATGAAAGATGGCAACAGGAAAAACAGAAAGGCCAACAGTCGGTTGTAGGCTGTCGATCGTGCGGTTCCCTGAGCGGGCAGGGAGTCGAAGTCGGCTTCGCCATTGGACGAGGCGATTGGCGAGGAAGTTGATGAATCTTGCGAAGGCGACAGCGCCAGTGGTGTGTAGGATGGTGACAGTGATCTGGTGGAAATGTGATTGATGGCGCCCCGGACAGAGCGTAGCGTGAGAGACAACATGGCGGAAGAGACGAGTATGTAGAATGTATACCCGAGCTGGGCTGCTGATGAAGGCGACAAGCAAGAATCGTGATGCCGACAGGTGGTCCAACGTGTCGCGCTGAGGACCCCGGGTATGCCTTCAGCGATGGAGGCTAGTGACTGTGGTCGCGAGCGAAAGTGTGGCGGCTCGAGGCGAGCAAAGCACAGTAATGGTAAGAAGAGACAGGCAAAGGAACAGACGGGTTCAAGAAAGCATATGAGAGAGTGTGGTTGAAAAGGCACAGGACAAGAATGAAGGTGAAGAACGTTGGCCAAGTCCGGCGGCCGTGGCTGAAGACGTTTGAGGACGGTAGAAAACTAAGCGTCACAGCATTCCGGACGCAAACCTTGGGGTTAAGCAGGAAACGACCGAGCAGGGTGAGGCTCACAGGGTCAAACAAGACGCACACACACAATCGCCATCCGCCAAGGGAGATGAGCGGCGCTGATCAAAGTGGATATTATGTTTCAGCCGAAGTAACCAGGAACGTAGATCTTCCAAGGTCAAAAGCCACGGCACCTAGAGAGACCTACCTTATTCTGGCACCACGATTCGCTCGGACCAGGTCATTATGAGCGCACCACGAACCCACTGAGTGGTCAGAAGTCGCCCCGAGCTGCCAGATTGTCCAAATCTCAGCCACGATACAGATAAAAGGGGGGTGGGATGGGAGGTTGAGATGCTACGCCAGTGCCTTGATCGACTGCTGCTCCCTGGTCTTGACGCTGATAAGCGTGCCGCCTGGCGTGGGCCTGGTGTGGGAGGAGGACTTTTGATAGGTTCAGGTTTTCCGAATCATGGAGCCCATGTTGTTACCCCTGAATCATTGCAGATTGAGACTGGCAGGCCAGATGAAGCTTGTCTGCCCTCAGCCATCCCAGGCCAGGCTAGCCTCCTCCACCTGTCATCGCAGAGAGAAGTCCTCTTATCCTTTTGTGGCCAATCTGTCTGTTCCCGTCACTGTGTCTCAGCTCGCGTCTTTTCTTCTCAGCAAAAGGATATCGAGAGAGCCTTGGTCATGACTCTGAACACATCCAAGCTTCTGCTGGGATATTCCTGTCCGCCGTGTCATGATCAAACCATCCTTCAGAGGAAACCGCTCCCGTTTCAGCCGTGCTGCCAGCCGTGCTCCGACGTGACATTTCAGCATTGTGCCCTCGTTTCGGAACATCACGGCTCGGTTTAAGCTTGATTGCTAGTGGTGTGTGTGTGTGTGTCTCCCCTAGTCCACACAGCCGAGGTAAGGTACCTTGCAACCATGCTAATCGAGCGCTCCGACCGTAATAGGACGACGGCGCATCGCCATGTCCCCTCCTCACGTTGTCAATGAAGCCCATTGGTGCATCGGCTATCCAGCGCGAATGTGGGCTGGCGTGGTCTGGATTCTGCAGCAGCTCCTTATTACTTACAAGTATATTGGCAAAACATGCCCATCCCCATCCCCCGCAGCGATGCATCTGCCCTCATTTGCATGCTTCGCCCGACAGCTGCAGGCGTGTGAACGCAGCAGCAGCACCACTAACCAACGATGGCCCCTGGGCAAGGAGCTCCACACGTGGAAGGAAAGATTCTCGCGCGATATTGGTTCTCACGACCTTGGCTGTCCGATCGTTGGGACTGTCTAGTACTCACTTGGGAGCAACTTGTCTGCATTTGTCTTTCTTCATGTCGGCAACGCAATGACTGGTTACCTTAGACGTTGTCCCAATCTGATACTCGCCTTCAGCAGGCAAGCAACAGAGGGACAATGGACGCATTGAATTCAAAATACAAATCAGGTCTCTCTTGTGGTCATAACGCAAGGTCACCCACCCCTGGGCTTCACCCATGCTTCTTGCGGACCTAGGCCCGCCGGGGCCATCCAGGGAAAAAGCTTGTGTGCCCCTTGGATGACCCTGTCAAAGCCTGCCTGTCATGCCTGTTCCCACGCGCCGTCGGCGGTCACTGAGCGCTATCGAATTCGCTGCTGACAGTGGCGTGGTGTCGCCCCTCTTGGCGCGTGTTTTGCGTCCTGTCTTCCAGCACACCTAGAAGCCGGCCAGCGACACAAGGTCCTTTCCAAGGACCTATGAGTCAGTCAGTCCAGCGAGTCGTCGTTATTCATGTTGTCCCGTTTGTGGCACGCAGCTGAACATCACGGGCCACGACCGTTGCGTTCGCGCTACTCCTCGGAATGCCGAACAGTAGTTCACACAGCTCACTGCGACGTCCTTCGCATTCCAGCAAAAGCTTACACTGTACCGTGTAGAGCTTGGCGAATAATCACCAATGTCATGCTGACCTGCACGAGGCACGCTTTTGACCCCACTCCCTCGTTGAGCGGGCGATGCGACCATATGCGCGACAGCGGAAAAGACAGTCGCTGGAAAATTGGGTGGCGGCATCCTTCCTGTGCCCCCCCCCCCCCCCCCCATGTCGACGTTGGGTCGGTAGAGCGCGAATACATACTATGTACCCGTCCAAGCTGGTGACAAAAAATAAAAGCCGCGTGGCGATTCCACCACCAATTCCATCACCACTAATTCTAGCTATAGAGGCCTAGGTAGACCTCCAAGCACATACAGAACGCGTCAATCACTGAGTTGACTTAATGCCATAGAGGATGCGAGATGTAATAGAAATAAAGGGCAGGATAATTAAACGATAGAAACTAGGAAGTACTTCTATTTGTATAGGGGTCCCTAGCTAATACAGGTACCTATCTTTTTCCCACGCGGCTTTTTTTGGCACCAGCTTGCCGTCTTTGGAAGGAGAATCTGGCCGGTGGTCAATAATTGGCAGTCTTGCGATGTCAGGCTCATTTCAGTGCCCCTGATCGAAGAACTTGGGAGTGCTAGCCATCATGCGGACTGAGTGGGTGTGCAACGTTCTAATCTGGTACGTGAATTCAGTCCCCTTTTCCATACAATCGAGAAGGAGGGAAACCAACTGACATGGAACTGGAAGATTGATGGGCTTTCGGAACCTCATGTGACCTTTGTCTCATATCGATGCCGCGAGGCTGAGACTGAGGTGCCTGTCTGAGTTACTTCATGCGGCCCCGGTTTGCATAGCCTCGTCGCCATGAGACAACGCGTAATGAGTCTTTAACTACGTCTCCCTAGTTTGGACTTTCGCCGCAGCTCCGGAATCCTCGGATCTGCGACAGAACCTGCAACAGTATGATTGTCATCAGCAAGGAAGATCACGGCAATGTGTACAAAACGCTTCCATGAAACCCAACGCGAACGTACATGGTACATGCTCGATCTACTAATAAATACAGCTGTTCCCAGGAGTAAGCAGCTTCCTCAGGTTGAGGAGGGTCGAATCGCTGCTGAAGCAGGTTGATCAACGTTTCATCAGGTTCCCCATCTGTCAACGCAGCCTAATACAGGGTTGCCACATGCTGGTCATTTCATCTTGACACTTATCTGACATGCAACTTAAGCGCGCGGGCACAGCTCCGTCCGGATGAACTCAATCTTCGAGCCGCCCTCTCCTCCTTGCACAATGTCATATGTAGTGCTCCAAGCCGCGCTCGCGAGCTGGATCGGCGCCTTGAAAATGACCCAGTCACCCCTCTCCTCGCCGGCGGCAGACGGGAACGCAATCCTGTCGACCGACATTGACCTCACAATGACGCTCTGCCTGCGCTCGAAACGCACCAGGTCAACGGCCAACGACGCCGCGCCTTCTCCTTGCGCACCGCCACCGTGATGGTCGCCGAGCGGAAGTTGCCGTGCTCGTCCGAGACACGCATGACGCCGCCTTTTGGAAAAGGAGCGAGTCGTCCACTGGGTAGCCCTGGCCACCGTTGGCGTGGGTCTCGACCTTGCCGCTCGAGGGCGTTGTCAGGCGAATATCGAACTTGCGGACACCCTTGGCCGCGTTCACCGTCGTGTTGAACTCGTAAAACGCAAATGTTTCGCCGTACAGGCCCCTTGTGTCGCCAGCATACGCAGCCTCGATAATATTCGTGCCTGAGCCTGCGTTGTCCGTCATGGCCAGCTGGACAGCGAGGTCAGCCTGGCTCCGGCTGCCTCCGGTGGTCCTGACGCGAACACGGCCGTTGAAAGTCAGCGAGCCCTGGTCGTTCAGGAATAGATCGACAATGTATGGCTTCACATCAATGGCCTCGAGCGGCTCCGACAGCTTGACCTGATCGGGGACTGTGTCGATCATGCGCGTGAAGATGTTGGCGCATCGCTTCTCAAACGTTGACGAGTGGCAGGCCAGCTCGCTGATGGTCTTGTTACCGTCGGAGCTGAAGATCCGCTTGTCCGAGTTGAGGCTGTTGTTCCTGCCCACGACGAGCGGGTTCTTGGTAACGCCGAAGACGTACTCCTTGGCGATGCGGTTGTCGAACTTGTTGGTCGTATCATCAAAGTTCACCACCGTGTCGTTCCAGATGCTGCTGTCTCCCTCGACAATCTGCGGGTGGTTGTTGCTGTGCACGCCGCCGAGCGAGTGACCGCAGGCGACGAGCGTGATCATGTCCTGCTGGCTGAGGCCGGCCGTCGCGAACCGCGCCATGGTGGTGCCGATCGACGTGTCGACTTCGGGCACACCCGCGGGGCCGGCCTGCGCGGCATCCTTTCGACCGTGTCGGAAGGGGATCTTCGTCTGCGCCCCGCAGCCGGCGTGCGAGACGATCACGCTCATGGCGAGGAGATCCGCCGCCGAGGCCCGGGACGAGTACAGGTAGTTGAAGAAGTTGAACGTGTTGTTGAAGGCGAGGCCACCATTTTCGGCACGGTTCAGCTCGAACCAGATGGACCCGTCGACACCACCGGTACCAGCCTCGACATCATGCGTGATCATGTCGTGGAACGCTGTTCGGATCCATTCGGCTGCATTCTGGCGTCCCTTGACGTTGCCGCCCAGGGTGCAGGGTGTCACACCTAGTGTCCAACGTCAGTCATCTTGTACAGGTGTCCAGCCCGTGTTCAACAGCAACTCCTTACCCGCGATAAAGTTGCGCGCCAGATATCCGCTCTGCAGGTAGAGAATATCCTCCAGCTCATCATGAGGAGACGGCCAGACGTATGCGTCACCTGCTGCCAACGCAATGAGCGGCGACGCAGCGAAAAGAGCAAGGCTTTGGGTCTTCATTGCCACCTTGGGACAAAAGAACGTAGCTCGTGAATCGTAAGTCGTAAGAGAACACACACAGACACACAGTGGAGATCACAAAAGTCGCTGCATCTCCAGAACCCTGGCAGCTCGGTCCATGTTGCCATGATCGTCGTATTTATTACGGAGCGACCGATTCTCCCCGCACGACAGTGCAGGTTGATTTTTTTTTTTGCTTTAAGATTATCAGATTGATCAGATAGCCCACCGGCTCCATTTTGTTGGAGCTTCGACGGGTCCTTGGGCGACGGACCGATCCACTCCTCTACTGGTCAGTACTCCCTCCATCCCTGCGCGTCATATTCCCATACGAGCTCTCAGAAGGGCCCGGACTCGGAGAATTTCATGGAGAATGGGACCGTCACGCCACGTGCTGCGTTACCATTCAATAGCCCTCTAGGCTACGATGACCTATGTGGGCTTTTCCTGTGGTTGTGTACTTGAAGGCGCACGGCGTTTTCCGCGCGCTCACCCCCTCGCGGACCCGAGCATTCGGTCCTCGGCCTCTGAGCCCTGAGGTGCAGCACGCCAAAACGCGCAGGCGGAAAAAGGATCGTGGGTCTCGGTTCCAGAAGGGGCTACGCTGGCCGTTCCTTGGCCCCCAGATTGGGTAGAAAACCATGCCGGCGGCACCGAGGGACGGCAGGAACCTTGGCCAAGCTAGCTGGTGGCTACATCAGCAGCACAGAAGCGTGAGGGTTTTCAGCCATGCAACGCGCATCTGCAACTCATTCGCTTGCCGACAATGTCCGATGCCAAGTCGTGGCAAGAACATCGTGAAGGGGGGGCCGGATCTTGGCTTCATGCTCTGGGCCTGGCCAGATGCTCGCCACGTTCCGCTTAATTACTTCCATGGCAGGTAGAGCTAGACCTGGCGAGGGGCTGAACATTGTCTACAGATTCCTGGGAGTCTTGAATCCCGGAGAACGCTGAGCCATCAGTGGATAAAAAAGCGGACTGCCGCGCCTGTGCAGCCGCCCTGGAACCCCTCTTCGACACAAATGGCACGAAGAGGTAAGGTAATTGGTCTCGTCTGGCCACCCGCTTACGCTTTGGTCTGTGTTGATTCTGCCACTGTTCTGCCACCCGTGCCAAGCTTGAGTCATGCTCTGCAGTGGATTGACTTGGGAGCAGCGAGGCAGTCTTTCGTCATTGTAGATGTCCTTTACCTCACGACATCTGAATAACAGACAAAATTCCCCACGCAAGGTGCGTCATTCCGTTGGTCACACGATACAACACCAGCCGTTTGCACTTAAAACTTCGTTGGAAGAGGAGCTTGGTTGATGTGGCTGGGTGTACAACTTACAATAAGTAAAGACAAAAGCAGATATCAAAACCACACACTATCTTACTGATCGAGATCAGCATTGGGTAAAAGACTACTCGCGCTTGCATTGCGAGATCAAGTCTCTCCAAAAGTCTGCACTATAGAAGGCCACCTAGGTATACTCCTGCAACATAGTTCTCTGTTCCAAAACCTACACAATGCAGGCGCAGCTGTGCGTCACATCTTGATGCTTCATCCGCTGCAATGTCGTTTACATGATGCATGCTGTTTCAGCGTATGCGCAATTACTGGGTGGGATCATTGAGGTCGATTCAAAGAGTTTCGTGTATATGGCTAGCGTCAAGAACCTCATATCGCACCCTTGTTTTTCGGTCTTTACATTTCATTCAGCGCCATCCTCCATCAAATTCACCTGCCTAATAGCCCCCAATCAATGAAATGCAGACTCAAAGCCTGGCGGGAGTGGCCGTGAAGCCGCACGTCGTGGCCGCAGCGGTCACAGAGTTGCCATAGTATTGCCAAATATTGTGCTCATTCGCACATAGCAAGCAGGCATCGAGGCGCGCAATGTATTGCCAGTTGGTACAGTAACCCTCCTCACGCGAGAGAGTAATGGAAGTGCCTGGTGCGTAGAGGTGTCAGATGAGGGAGGGGTTTTACCGAGAATGCCATGGCGTATTGAGCCAGGAAACATACCGCAGCTCTCATGGCAGAGGTACAGGGGTGTGCCAGGCTCGGGGGTTGTCTGACGAGCAGCCAGAGGCATAGACTCAGGGAACTCCCAGCCAGGCTGAGAGCGAGGGGTCAAGGGGTTGGCAGTCACACTTCTGGCGGTCAGGGCAATGAGGGCGGCGTAGGAGAACTGCATGTCGACGGTGCTGATCGGTCCTTGATGATGAAAGATGTAAAGATTGAGTGAAGCTGTTGTGATGAAGGAGGATGTGAGAATCGAACGCTCATACTGGGTCTCATCATGGTGCCTTATATAGCTTTGAAAGGTCACTTCTCATGCGTTCTCCCCGACTTCAAGCTCGGACTGCCGAGCTACAATGCTCCGCCCCTGTCGTTGCTTCAAGCTGGGGGCAGCAACAGAACCCTGTTGTCAGTCAGGCGGACCGGCAATTTTGGCTTCATGACAGCTCTCTACCGACATCGCTTCTGTACGCCAAGTAAAAGGAGGAGAAGATTCGGTAAAACCTTCAAGAACTTCTTCCTCCAGCTGCCATATCCAATCCTAGCTCCTGGCTCGCATTTAAGCATGCCAAACTCAATGGTCTGCTGCGGGGTTGGATCCAGGAGCTCCCAATCAGCTTCCGAGTTGAGATCTAATCTCATCTTATCAGATCATCAAAAGCGGGCCTCGTGACAATCAGTGACCGTAGTGCCGGCTCGTGAGCCCGTTTTCATCTCGGGAGCTCCCTCCTTCGCGCCATCTATGGCTTGGCAAAGCCAGGGGATTGCCACCGGAGAACCATAGGAGCCCGTGAAGCTACATGTAGGTCACGTAAGCACCGAGTCTGATGGCCCGGCGCATCCGGCAGTGTCGGGGAAGGTTGGCCTGGTACATCGACCTCTCCATGATGATCTTGCACAAAATAGTCACTGAACACTTGACTGTTACAGCACGATAGTGTTCCTGACAGTGCATTCGATGGTGAGTATTGTAAGCCACCCGACTGGCCTGGTTGCCCCAGAAGTTGTCCGGGTCAGTAAACTCAACGAGCCATGAACGAAACATAGAAATACACAATGATGTGTTCCTTCTGGGCTGCTGAGAAAGTAGCTTCTCAGATGGTCAGTTCCCCGCACTAGAAATCATGTAATTCTGGCTGCCACCTAAGCAGATGGAACATTAGCATTACTCGTAAATATGCTAGACAGTCATAGAGAGATGTATTTGTATGTGTTTATAATAATAGTAGTAGAAAGCTGGCAGAAATTCATCCCGAATCTCTAATACCGCGTTGTCCAAAGGTCAAGTAGCGATGAAGAGGCTATTTGTTTGTCTTACTAAGGTACCTAGCCAGTGATCGATGAACCGGTGGGTCGGGTCATTTGAACATGCCTATTCCGCATTGAGAATAACTACTCCCTACAGTATAGACAACCGTGTCTAGAGGCGCAGGATTCCTCGAGATGCAGCATGTCGAGTATGGCACAGTGACCTGAGGTCAGGTATTATAGTGACCAGGCCAACCTTGAATCATGCCGGAAAGTACCATTGGTACACCTCTTAGTTGACATATAAGAAAATCAACGCAAGACTCGAAACCAAAACGAACCTGCTCTGATTCAACTATGATTGCTCCTTGCCGGCGATAGATATCCCATCGACGACACAATGTTGTCATGGTGAATCTTCGTAGCCGGACAAACCAGCTGGCATCAGCTGCCCACATTAAGGCGCTGTGACAGCCCCCAATTAGGAGAGTTTCTCCGCCGAAAGCGGAACAGACAGATCACGCCATCCGCTAGTGGGCCGATCAACCAATCAACTTCTCTGTGTTTTCAGCACAAGTACCAGCTCTGTTCATGTCTTCAGCGTGAATCCGACACCAGCTCTGAAGCAGAGACTTAGATCACATCATCTCAGAAGCATTTCACCATGTTCAGCAGACGCGCCTTGCGGGCTACCTCCAGCGTCGCGGGACGCCTGTCGGCTTCTAAGAACACCGCATCGCTTACTCGCTACCTCGCCACAGCAGCGGCACCAGTGACATCTGCGGACAGCGGCCACAAGGTTGTTGTAGTGGGCGCCGGCACTGCTGGTCTGGCCATCAGCCATCAACTCCTCCGGACGGGTCAATTTTCGCCAGACGACATTGCCATTGTTGACCCTGCCGAGTGGCACCACTACCAGCCGGGCTGGACTCTTGTCGGTGGTGGCCTCAAGTCGAAGCAGGACCTCCGGAGACGCCTGTCCGATCTCATCGACCCCAAACTGAAGTTCTACAACAACGGCGTGGGCTCATTTTCTCCCGAGAGCAACTCTCTCACTCTTCAGGATGGCCGCACCCTGAGCTACGACCAGCTGGTTGTGGCCTCTGGTGTCAGCGTTGACTTTGGCAGCGTCAAGGGTCTTCCCGAGGCGCTCGCCAACCCGGACGCTCTTGTCTCATCCATCTACGGCTACGACAGCTGCGACAAGGTCTTCCCCTCTGTGCAGAAACTCCAGAAGGGCGCCGCCATCTTCACACAGCCCGCCGGCGTCATCAAGTGCGCCGGCGCCCCCCAAAAGGTCATGTGGCTTGCCCTCGACCACTGGAAGCAGGTTGGGCTCTACGACCCGAGCAACCCCGCCTCGTCCGCCATCAAGATCAGCTTCGCCAGCGGCCTCGGCGGCATGTTCGCCGTGCCCAAGTACGCCGCGGCGCTCGAGGCGCTCCGCCAGGAGAGGAACGTCGAGGGACTCTTCCTGCACGACCTCGTCGCCATTGACGGCAACACAGCCACCTTTGCCCGCCCTGACGGCCAGGATCAGGTCAAGAAGCACTTTGACTTCCTGCACGTCACGCCCAAGATGGGCCCCCACGCCTTTATCAAGAACAGCTCGCTCGCCAACGGCGCCGGCTACGTCGATGTCGACGACGGCACGACCCAGCACAAGAAGTTCCCCAACGTCTGGTCCGCCGGCGACGTCTCTAGCCTGCCGACGTCCAAGACGGCAGCCGCCATCACGGCCGAGGCGCCCGTTCTCGTGCGCAATCTGCTCCAGACCACCGAGGGCAAGGCGCCCGACGCCGTCTACGACGGCTACACATCGTGCCCGCTCACGACCGAGTACGGCAAGGTCCTGCTGGCTGAGTTCAAGTACGGCGGCCAGCCGAAGGAGACGTTTGGCGACCTCATTGGCTTCGATCAGGCGGTCCCCCGTCGCGCCTTCTACCACCTGAAGAAGGACTTCTTCCCGTGGGTGTACTTCAACAACATGGTCAACGGCACCTGGGGTGGGCCGAAGGGCTTCCTCAACTAGAGGGCGCGCATGGATCACTTTTGGGTCAGTGGCCGAATGTATGAGGCTGTGTTTACGCGTGTTTTACGGTTAGATACCTAGGAATTTCCAGCGAAAGATACATACGATTCAGTCCCCGGCGCCCCATTTCTTCTCCGCCAGGGTGCCGTATCATTCCGTTTTCTTTTCAATTGTCTTCCTTTTTCTGGCGATTTGAAACTAGTGATTGTTCAATTGAGTACTTTGTACCTACAGGTAAGGTACCAGGAGAGGAAGCTGCTTGATACATTCCTGGACATCTACATTTTGCGGTGAATGAGGGGCACCAGATAAGGTGGGGGGAATGGCTACCGTACGGTACCTGACCTTGTACCTAGTGGGCACCTTAGGGCGAACTGCCGGGCTACTAACGTGGCGCTTCGGACCCCTTGCCAGGCCAGCATCAGGTACCTCGACCCCACTGTCAATTCTGCCTTCTCCTCCAGGCAACCATGAAAGACCTCGAGATCGTGCCAAGTCCTGTCACGCGCCGTCCAACAGCACAATCATCGTGAAGACGCGTTATCGGCTTCGGCTAGCCAGGTACATCAATGAATACCAACCAGCACTGCTGGGCTTGCCGCGGCCGGCGTATACGCTGCGACTCTCAGCAGCCGTCCTGTGGGAAGTGCATCCTGAAGGGCATCAACTGCCCAGGGTACTCCTCCACCAGACCCATCAGATGGCGCCCGCCACGCGTCTCGACTGCTGCGCAACCGACCACATCCCAGCCTGTTATTCGCTTCAAGTCATCAACAGCCCGGGATGAAAGCCAAAAATTCGAAAACAACAAGCCCGTGCCGTCTCCCGTGGCCCTGGTCCACCAGCTACGATATCCCTCCAGAAGCTACGGCAGAAGGGACGACGTCGCTCCTCTGAGCATAGTTATGGACACAATCACTTACTGCAAGATCCTTCCAAAAGTCCCAAGCTTGTAAAGCAGAACCTGTCCTGATTGTTGCCGCAGATAATGCCAGAATTAGCCCGGACCTCTCCGCCCTCGAGTCCACATTCGGCTTCATCACGGTTTCCGATTGGCAAGAACTCGCCCTGACTGGCCGGCATCTCTACGTCTGCATCGTTGCCATGCACAAGGCGATCCAGCGAGCGCCTCAGGCGTTTGTAGATTCCGTCAAATCGCCATCTCATCCCATGGCAAAGAATGATCCAGGGGCGTTGAATCTCGCCATGCTTCATCACCATCAAGCATCTGCGGCGCATTCGATGCAGGGTCAGATCGAAAAGGTGACCGCGGCAGAGCCTGACCCACGTATCATTGGAAATCTGGCCCTGTTCTTGTCGGTGAATATCATGGAGAGTGCCTATGGCAGATGGCATGCCCACCTCCAGGGCGCCAAAGCGCTCATCGACTTCTGGCGTCACACGGACCTTGATCTCCCGGGATCATGTGGCTTTGGCTACTTTAACCTCGTGATGGCGGACATCTACAGCACGACCACTTCACCGTCGAAGCATCTCTCTCCATCGACTGTCTCTTACCATAGCACCTATCTCGACGAGATTGACCGCCTCCAGATCTTCAGCTTTGACTCCTTCACCCCAGTGCCCAAGGAGATGATCATCACTGCAATCAGTGTCAACATCCACAGAGCCCGAGCGACGAACGATACACTAGAGATTTGCGAGGGCATTGAAACCTCTGCATCTGGCATTCTCGAGTATGCTCGAGCTTTTTCACCCGCAATTTGGGCAGTGGAAGCAATGGCGGCTCTTGCTGAGACCAACCCGAGCCCAACGCCAAATTCGCTTCGAGACGTGAACAACCTTGACAGCTGGACAGCCCTCGCCCAGTCATTTCAATCAGCCACCGTTCTCTATCTGATATGGAGCATCCCTCCCGATGAGCGAGTCGGCGGTACAGAAGTCGGCACATGGGCAGCAGCGAGATCATGGGCTTATGCAACGTTGACGACAGCCATCCATGATCTTTTCGAACGACGGCAAAAGAAGGGCTCACACTACAAATTCATCCTCTGGTCGATGTTAATGGCAGGGTTGGAGGCCATCGTTCTCTCCGACCACGCAGAGCTGGTCTTTCTCTGCAGTAACTTGAGAATCTTGACCGTGGACCTCGGAGTGTCGGCCATGCATGAGGCGGCCGATTTGTTGGAAAAGACTTGGACTCGGTTTGAGAACAGAGAGATGGAGCTGGAGCTGCATCATCACTGGGATGAAATCTTTGCGGATGCACCTCTGTTTCTCATGTAATATGAAGAATGGCGGCACGATTTATGAAACTGGGATGCTGGATCTACAATCATCACCTAGGATGACAATGCGCCGCGGCCCACATTGTTGAGTCCCTAGGGAACACATACTGGTGAGTATGTTTGACGTCTTCATCCGCGTCGTACTAACATTTACAATAGGATAGCCACCAATTTGGGCCGAGCTTTAAACAGGACCTGCCACTTGCGACAGACATCAATTAGGAAGTGCTGCTCGCACCGCTTCCACCATTGGAATCTGCCATGCCTTGAGCACTCCCTGCCTCATGTAGTAAGAACCCCCAATTGTTCACTGCAGCCATCCGATAGGTCCCTCGATACGACTAGCAGCACCGATGCGCTTGTCGCCGGTGATGAAGTCTTTCAGGCACTGGGCATACACACCAAGGTAGTCTGTACCATTTTGCGCGAAGCCGGATTCCGAGAAGAACACGGGCGAATAATGTTGCGGCTTGTACTCTCGGCAGACATGTCCAGCGCATGGAAGCCACGGCTACACAGCTTGCTCTGGAAGAAGGTGCAGTTGGTCATCCAGTTATCGTAGGTGTGCAGCTCAAATACAATCTTGTCGGCGTAGTCAAAATCGGCCAGGTCGAAGAAGCGCGGGTCCGTCTCGCTCAAGGGGGAGCTTGGCCGTGATAGGATTGAGCTTGTGGTCATAGTTGAGTCCCGAGTAGATGACAAGAGCATCGGGATCGGCGGCGTTGACAATGGCGGCGGCGTCGGTCATCTCGTCGTCGTCGGTCATCTCGTCGTAGCAGCGCGACCAGCCGTAGGTATCGTTGGCGGCCGAGTTGACGATCATGTGCAGCTCCGCCTGCTGGAGCTCTGCGGCGACGGCGTCCCACACCTCGAGACGTGTCGTCTCTTCGGTGAAGGAGAGATTGTGTTTCAGAATATCGCAGACAAACGTCAACAGCGAGTTCTTCGCCGAGCACACGAGTCATGGTCTCCTTGATCGACACATCACCGCCGTTGTCAAGCATATTATGAAGATTGGTATAAGGAAGACCTATGCTAGTATCCAGCCCTCCTGAAGTTCGTGGCGGAGATGACGGGCTGGGGTGATAGTACACTCAGCATCCGAAGGACCATCCTCCGCAGCAACATGCCTCAGAACAAAGCCATCGGCGTTCACTATGACCAGAAATTCCTCCGCCACGGCGAAGACACAATCATCACAGCCTGGGTCCCGATTGGCGACATCAAAATCGACGGCGGAGGCTTGATCTACTTCGGAAAGGGCTGCGACATAGCAGAACAGTTTGAAAAGGACTTCATGGATCGCGCTAAGGCAGCCGGGTCGTACCTTTCACTGGAAATTTGACAGCTTTAATAGCACTTTTCTCGTATGCGTGAAGATATTCTTCTTATGTAGCCAGCCTTTCGTTATTGCACCATGAGAAACCCTTCTCAGGGTGACTTCAGGTCTGAGGACCTCAAGGGAGACAGAACTAAGTCGTTGAGGATGTGACTTAGAGGATGTGACTCGCGTTGAATTTGTCGATGACGAAGCCATCCACAACATCGCTGAGCGTGCCGCTGAGGTGGTCTGCAGCCCATGGACGAAGTCTACGTTCAGGCTCTATGGCTGTCTTCTTATTACTTACTTCTGCGGGTGTCTCGACGGATGCGATGGGCCCTTGATGTGGGGTCTCAATGCTATGAAAAGTAGCAAAACTATTTCGATACGTAAGTCAGCACATACTCAGCGTTATATTCATGCTCACTACTGATAGCTCCCCCTCAGTTTGCCTGTAGGATCGCAAACTGGTTTTATCTTTGCTGTTTACAGTATTGGTTCAATCTGTGCCATCCCGTTTACCGGCCTGTCAGAGCGTTGGTTAGAGCAGAGTGAAGAGGTCTTCCACACGTGGTCCGCAGCAGATAGAAGACAGGTAGGGGGTCGGAATACATCTGAATTCTGGCCCTCCGTAGTCTGGAGGGCCCTCCGCAGCCTATATATACGTTTCTCGTAGCCCTTAGCCCCTGACCGACCCCCTGCTTGGTGACTCCGTAGGGTCCCCTGATACGGCCCTATAAACGACTTCTTTGGACGACGATGGGGGATGTTCGTCGGAGCCCTACTTATCATCACGGGTACATGCATTCAACCCCCTTCCCACAACTTGAAAATGTTCATAGGCGGTCGATTCATGCTGGGCTTCGTCGTCAGCTTCTGTTTAGTCAGTGCGGCATATTATGTTAGCGAGATGTCGCACCCTAAATGGCGAGGATATCACACAGGACTTTATAACTGCATGTTGTGAGTAAGACTATAACTTGACAACTGCGAATCAAGCTGATAATCTCAAGGTGGCTCGGTGCTACAGTAGCTAGCTGGACGATCTTTGGCTGCTCAAAGTGGGATAACCCGTATGCCTTTCGGATCCCTATCTGGGGTCAGCTCTTCTCATCCATCATTGTCGGCGTCGGCGTTTTCTTTGTACCAGAGTCTCCAAGATGGCTCATCGCCAACGGCAAGATTGAACAAGCCAGGGCTATGCTCGCTAAGTACCACGGCGAAGGACAGTAAAATCATCCCATGGTCCGGCTACAGATGGAGGAAATGAAGCACAGTATCAAGCAAGATGCTTCCGACAAAAGACGGTGGGATTACCGGGAGCTCGGCAACACGCGCTCAGCAAGGCGGAGGCTCATATGTGTTCTTGGTATGGCAGCGTTTGGCCAGCTCAGCGGAAACTCCATCACGGGTTCGCGCCTAACCAGTAAACAATCTTATGAAGCCGGACATCGCAACAGTGGCTCGTACTTTGGGTGCTTCCACAAGAGTTTGAGTTTGGAGGTCGCGCATTGGTCAAGAGACTTCTCAGCTGAGAGTGTAAGCAAGTCTCGAAAGCTAGGTATGGTGTGCTACATATTTGCCGGGTTCTCGCCAACGTGGTAAAGCTAGGGGTGGTGAAGCTTGGATTTCACTTGATGCTCCAAGTTTCTGACAATACATCTCGTACATCGTTGGATTAAACAATGGATGCGCGTGACAGTGAAATGCTAAAGGTAGCGCAACTTGACTTGGACAGGTCTTTCAAGAACGTACGTGAGTCTTCCGTGGTGGAAGAATATCCAACCCACGATGCGATGCACTTCAATTCTTGGTCGAGTCATGGTTTACATGCGTACCTAGGTATCGAATAAGGCATAGATCAAAGGCTGCGCCTGCGACTGTCTTGTGGTCAGGGTCAATCACATGACGCTTGCCAGCTTTTGTCCAGGCCACAATTCAGCCACGTCAGCCCAATTGCAACGTTTGACTTTAAATGCATAGTAGCCAAGTCAAGACAGAGTCATGCATGAAAAGTCTCAAAGAACCGGCAATAATGCTAGACAGGAACATGATTCTCTCTTCTCCGAGTGAGGTAGCACTTTCGTGCTAGGACTGCTCGAGTTTTGCTGGGGTCATGAGATTTGTCTCTAAACCGATCGACATGTAAAATGCCTCGTTGGCTTAGTGGTAAAGCGCATCACTAGTAATGATGAGATCACTGGTTCGATTCCAGTACGAGGCATCGCAAAATCAATTACTTTGATCTGTTGATGGAGTTGAATTTATCTTTTTACGTTGCTGGAGTTCGTTTTTCGCAAATAATGTTTTGGCAGAGGCAATGTTGGCTAGACACACGCGAATCCCTTTTGGAGGGCTACAAAGCCAGTGTGGTCAGCAATCAGCCAATCGGCGGATTTTGTGATTCTTCTTCTGGAACAAGCCTAGGGAGTTGTTCATGGCCTAACTAGCGTCCAGGCAACGGGAGTGCGCTGGCATGTGGTGCACTCATCCGTCAGCGGCGGCATCCTTCATCATGCCGAGTATAGCCAGGGTCAACAGCGCTGAGCACAGGGAGTGGCGTGGATGAAAGATTGGGAAAGATCAACCCTGTCGTGCTTTGATTGCCGTGAGGCCTTACAGCAGAAGCTCCACAGTCTTCGGAGATTCGTCGTCGTCCTTTGATTAGTGTGCGGTACGTCATGGAGTGTTGTAGCATGTGGTGATCTAACTTGATGGAATATACCGACGTTCTAGAATGTCCCGAATAATTATCAGGACTGCTTGAAAAGTCTAGCGCTACAATCTTGGACATGGTGAAGGCAAGGTGCTATCCCGAACCGGGCAGGAACAAGAGTGCGATGACGTCATACCGAGGCACAGGGGAAGGCCGGCCGGCGAAGAAGGGGCAACCTCGTCCTGGGAAGGTCCAAAGGGCAGTGAGGATCCACAAATCGGGGCACGAGCTTCTCCGGCCCCAATTATCCGGCCTGTTGTCAGGCTTCTGGGCGCGAGGCTCGCACAAATTTTTCTTCTTCTTCTTCATCCGAGGGGCGACAACTCATCTTCTTATCAATTTGCGTGCCATTACTGTGCTGGCAAAGGGCCAGCGTGAGCAAGTCCCCACCTTTGACCAAGCCGAAGGTGTATCTACATGGTACATACTTTCTTTTCTTGGCCAGGCTTGCCAGGGTCCGATAGGATCCACTCACACTGGACCGAGGCATGGTTGTTGTTCGATTCTGTACTGCTGGGCAACGATTAGGGGCCGGCTTGGCATCTTCGAGACCATTTCTCAAGATGCCCGGCTGTCTGATCTCGACCTGCTCGTGGTCGGCACGTTGATCTGATTGTCTCAACTGCTTCGACATGAGTTTGTCCATGTGGCACCGCTGTCCACCGAAACGGATGAGCACCCGCGGCCGACGATCGCTTGAAGACGCTCCAATACGAAGCGGGACAACTAGCGGCCTGGACTGGCGACATCACTCATGAACGCGTCATGTCTTGCATTACTTGTGTTCACCATTCGGCTGTTTTCTTTCCCGGTGAACACTCACAGACGACAACTCAGGGTCGATATGGGCCGGAGTTGGCAAGCGCAATCCCCGGTACGGAATTGCTGCTACGAGAAACTCGCCGACAATCCGGCTCCGCAGCCCTCACAGCATTTGGGCGACAGGGAGCGCTTTGCTCAGCACTAGGGGGCCCCATAAGCACGTTGCCTCGGCCGGGATCTGACGCCAAATCCGCTCCCAAACCCTGGGCCGTCCCAGACTATAACGAGAATAACGTATCTCAAGCTTTCGCAGATCACACCTAGCTGGCCAAAACACGCCGGACATGCCAGCGAGTCATAGCGCATGTACCATTCTGCAAGGGTTCTAGCTTCTTCGATGTCCCCCATCAGCCCTGCCGAGGTGCCGACCAAGCAGTCGGCTAGAAATCCGCCGCCGACCCTCCGATGGGTTTTGCCCGTCTCAGCCAACGAAGTGGCGCGCTGCCAGACGGGCCGCGGACATAACAAGCGTAACGCCCCGTCAAAGGCCCCTCTTATTGCCCTGTTCACGGTTCGGCCGAGTGGCACAGGGCCCCCGTTCGTTGGGTTGGTGATAGGAGATGAACCGGACGGGGACCAGTACAAGTCCGTATTAGAAATCTGCATCCACTGAGCTGCGTTATATAGATCTGCGGTTCCCAAGCCCATGGACCATTGTCCCGGTTTCTAGATCTTCCTTCCTTCATCAATCAACGCCACGAGACTTCCGATTCAGATTCGATCAGATCAGGTCCCCGATCTGTTGTTGTCCCTCACCTGACCCATTCAGACAACACAACCAATCGTCCCGAGGCGCATGCTCGCCACCTCACATCACACCATGGCGACAGCACCAAGCTCATCAGCATCGTCTGTCACAGCGACCACCCCTGACCTCGATATTGAGGCCCAGCCTGCGAGGACCAAGGAGGGTCACTTCAAGCTCCTGTATGACCAGGCCGGCGTCATCCCCGAAGTCCTCAACCACACGTACCCCGGCGAGGGCACTGCCGAGTCTCCCTACCTCGTTGACTTCCTCCCCGAAGATGTTCGCAACCCCATGACCTTCAGCCAGACCAAGAAGTGGTCCATCACTGTGGTCAACGCCGTTGCTACATTAGCCGTTGCTTTTGCCAGCTCAGCATACTCAGGCGGTGTCCGCGCCGTCATCAATGACTTTGGCGTGTCGCAGATTGTCGCCATCCTTGGTGTCTCTCTGTTCGTCCTTGGCTTCGCCATCGGCCCCCTCCTATGGGCTCCCCTGTCGGAGCTCTTTGGTCGCCAGCGCCTCTTCATCGTCACCTTCTTTGCTCTTACAGCTTTCAATGCCGGCGCTGCTGGCTCTCAAAACATTGAGACGTTGATCATCCTGCGATTCTTCGCAGGTGCTTTCGGCTCGTCACCCCTGACGAACGCTGGTGGCGTCATTGCCGACATGTTCTCTGCGTCTGAGCGCGGCATGGCTTCTGCTCTGTTCGCGTCGGCTCCCTTCCTCGGCCCCGTTCTTGGCCCGATTGCCGGTGGCTTCCTCGGTCACGCCTCTGGCTGGCGCTGGGTTGAGGGCATGATGGCTATCTTCACTGGTCTCATCCTCATCATCTCACTCTTCATCTGCCCTGAGACGTACGCCCCCTACCTGCTTCGCCAGCGCGCTCTCGAGCTCTCCCGCCAGACCGGCAAGCACTACGTCTCAAAGCATGACCTCCGCAAGGTCCCCCAGTTGACTGCTCTTATGCGCCCTTGGGTCCTGCTTTTCTGCGAGCCCATTGTCACTCTGACGTCGATCTACATGGCCATCATCTACGGCACCCTCTACATGCTCTTCGCCGCCTTCCCTATTGTATACCAGGTTCACCGTGGTTGGACCCCCGGTATCGGTGGCCTTGCCTTCATTGGCGTTGCTGTTGGCATGATCTTCGCCGTCAGCTACTCCATTTACGACAACAAGCGCTACGCCGCTGCCGTCGAGGCCGCCGGTGGTGCCGCTCAGCCCGAGGCACGTCTCCCTCCCGCCATCATCGGCTCTGTTCTTCTTCCCGTCGGCCTCTTCTGGTTTGCCTGGACCAACGGCCCCGAGATTCACTGGATCGTCTCCATCATCGCCTCCGGCTTCTTCGGCGCTGGTCTCGTCCTCGTCTTCCTTAGTCTCCTCAACTACCTCATCGACTCGTACGTCGTCTTCGCCGCCTCGGCCCTAGCCGCCAACAGTGTTATCCGATCTCTCTTTGGCGCCGCCTTCCCTCTGTTCACCAGCAACATGTACGACGACCTCGGCATCCACTGGGCCTCCACCATTCCCGCCTTCCTCGCTCTGGCCTGCGTTCCCTTCCCCTACCTCTTCTGGCGCTACGGCAAGACCATTCGCCTCAAGTGCAAGTACGCCGCCGAGGCCGCTGCTGTGCTTGAGCAGATGCGCGCCGGCGCCGTCAAGCCCCCCGCCTTGCGCGAGTCTGACCAGATGATGGAAGACGACATCGAAGCTGGGCGTGAGGAGGAGGAGGAGAAGGTGCGTCGCGCCAGCCGCGCCACCCAAGGTGGCGTTCTGTCTGACGACGAGCGCACCATGGCCGGCGACGCTCCTGAGGAGCCTGTCGGCACCAAAGAGCAATAAATAAAAAGCAAGAACCATAGAAGGTGGTCGGCGATACCCCACACATATAGACGGCGGTGTGTTTTAGACGGATGATGCATTTGAAAACAAAATAACGAGCCCGGTTTGGGCTTTGCATGGCGTGGTGTTTTTGGTCACATAGCATAGGATACCATGGGGAAGCATAACGCCCTTCACAGGGCACACACGACTTGGTGGTCACCTCTCTTAGAAAAGCTTAATTGTAACTATTCCAAACTAAAACCTCATGTTGCATTGTGCATGTTGATCTACCACACGTGTGCACTGACATGGCTCCAAGCCACACTTGGCTAACACAACCCGCTATTTTTTTTATAATCTTTTGTAAGTGACTTGCGCAAAACATTCGCCAAGCCGCGAACAGCCTCCTCAAACGTCTCATCATCCTCCCACGCGAAGCTCAATCGTACGCTCCTCTGGTACAGGTCCCCAGCACCACACCCCGGTACACCAAACAAATCCCCCGGCACAACCAAGACCCCCTCCTCCGCCTCCGCCCGCGCCGCAAACTCCGTCGCCGGCGGACTCCCCACCGGCAGCGTCAGCCAGAGGAAATACCCGCCCAAGACACCGTCATCGTCGCGCTGCACCCACGACACGCCGAACGGGGCAAGATGGGCCCCGACGGCCCGCGCCAGAACGGCGTGGCGCCTCTGGAGCCCGGGCCGGACGCAGCGCGCGACGTGCTCGTCGAGCCGCCCGCTCTGCAGGAGGGCGTGCACGATTGCCGACGCGAGCTGGCTCGGCGACCCGCCGGAGACGGTCGAGCCCGTCTACGAGAGGCCGTGGATGAAGGCCCGGGTGCCCTGGACCCAGCCTGTGCGGACGCCGGGGCCGACAATCTTGGAGAAGGAGTTGTTGGAGATGGCGTGGCCGAAGTGGGTTCCGCTCTGGACGTCGTGGGCCGAGGGGCCGAGGTCGAGATCCAGATCGGAGAGGCGAGGGAGGGCTGTGTTTTGTGGTAGTTGCACTGGAGGGTAGACTTTGTAGTTCTCGTTTTCGGGGCACGCGGGGAGGGGCTCGGGAAGGCAAGAGTCTTGAAGGAGGGGCCACTGGAGTAGGTTGTAGACGTCGTCGCAAATGACCAGGGCGTCGTGCTTTCGTGCGAGGGCGACGAGTCTGCTGCGGGTCGTGAGGGACATTATCCTGCCCGAGGGGTTTGCGCATGTCGGAACGGTGTAGATGACATGTCGGTAGAACTTGCGGCCTGGACCGGGTTTCCTAGTGCTCTGGGGTATGTCAGCAATAACACAGGGTGGCTATCACGAGAGAGGATCTCAGAACGTACGAGATATGGCTGGCTGTAATCTTCGTCACACTTTGCCAGCTGAATCTCTAGCCATTCGAGGTCGATTCCGTCCGTCTCCTCGGGCACCGATATCAGCCGATCTTCGAAGCCGGCGTCCTTGAACATTCCGAAGGAGAGGTGATATGCAGGGGCCACTATCCAGACTGCCCGGGTGATGCTTGGGTCAGTAAAATTCTGCAGGATGCTGGCCATGCCCAGACTGGCGCCGGCTGTGACGCAAATGTGCTCCGGCAGGTGAGCTCTCCCGTCCACATTCGAGATCCAGCTTGCAATCTCCTTTCGGAGAGGCCCGTACCCGGCGTCGTCTCCGTATTGTAGGGCCGGTAAATATTTGGAAGGATCTTTCAACGTCTCAACAGCGGCTTCGGAAAGTAGGTGCGAGGAAAGCATATCGAGAGAGGGCCATCCTCGTGCGAGGTCTATGGGCCTTTCTCGACCCTGATCTTCTATCGTCATCTTAGTACTGCTTGGCAGCTCAAACGAACTTGAAAAAAACTATGCTGGTCCCAAATTCGTCATCTTGGAGGAACGCCCCCTCCATTTTTTAAATACGCTTAGTAGCCCTTTCTTCGTCGATATATCGGACTACTCTTGACGCTTGTCGCGAGGGACTTGCTCATTTTCTTGATTCGGAAAGACAAGCGTCTTGTCCAATCAGTCAAGGTTCTAGCAAAATAGTCATCCTTCCATGGCCCGGGAATTCAAAATGCCATTTACAAGATCCATGCAGACTCCGAGTCACCACCATAAAACTTGCCTATTCGGGCAAGTCAAGCGTTCAGACCAATCAAGCGATGGACTTCCGCGACGCAGTGGATCGCCGCTAAACTCAGTGAGTTGCCTACAGACCGTCAGAGCGTAGGGTGTAGGATGACGGTGATGGATCTAAGGGTCTTTCAAAGGCGGGCAACCTTCACTGTCGGACGTCTAACAAACACCATTAATTCCCTCGCCATGTCCGTCACGCCGCTCGAAATCGCTGCCAGTGCTGTCCAAGCAAGGCAGCACATCCGCCAGCACATCTACCAGACGCCTCTCATCCCAGCAAAGAAAACAGGCATCAAGCATGGCGCCAGAGTCTTCTTCAAGGCTGAGAATTTCCAGCTCACCGTGTCGTTTAAACTACGAGGGGCCATGTCCAAGATGTCGAATCACACCGGCAACAAGCCCTTGATCACGGCATCATCGGGCAACCACGGTATCGGCTCCGCACAGGCTGCGAGTGTCCTGCACAAGTCTCTCACCGTCGTCCTTCCAGAACAGCCGTCCCTTCCAAACGAAAGAAGATTGAGTCGTTTGGCGTCGAGGTCATCATCCACGGCACAGAAGCGGGACAGGCGGAGCAGCATGCACAGAAGCTCGCCGCGTCCGGCCAGTCCACGTACTTCTCGCCTTACAATGACGCCGAAATTGTAGCAGGCCAGGCCACAATTGGTCTCGAGATTCTGGAGCAGTGCGACCACGTAGACAATGCCTTCGTCTCCATGGGGGGGCGATGGGCTCATCAGTGGTATCGGGTCCGTTCTCAAAGCCTTCAGTCCGCGGACCAAGGGTTTCGGCGTTGCCGCTACAAACTCGAAATCTCTAGCCGCGTCCATCGTAGCTGACAAAGTCATCGAGACGTATCATCTGCCGACGCTGGCCGAAGGTGTTGCTGGCGGGATAGACGAGGACAGCACCACCTTTCCGTTGGCGTCGGCAGTGGTGGATCAGGTCATCGAATGTAATCAGGTGGAAATTGCTGCGGCCTTGAGGAGCATTGCGCATGATGAGACTATGATAGTTGAAGGGTCTGACGGTTTGGCTCTGGCGGGCTTCGACAAGGTTGCGCATCAACTTGGGGCCGAGACGAGCATCGTCCTTTTGTGCGGTGCAAATATCGACGGCAACACTATCAAGGAGGTTCTGTACGGCAGTTGAGATGAATGATAGCGCTCGGATATTGCGCTTGTCAGTCTTTCGCGCGTCAAAGTCCGCTTCCGATGCCAAGTACAACGTTAAGCCAAGAAATGAATCTTCTACCCCTACTTCACGTTCCTGTGACCTGACCAAAATGTGACCACGCATTGACTTTCTTCGGCGGGAATCCAGAAGTGGCAGCATAACTTCCGTGTGGCCAAGGTCAGTGGTATGAATTGTAGTATTCGGACCTTCTACCACCTGAATGGTATCACTGCCTTGGTGCCGATGCATCAACTCAAAGTAGTCATCGGGGTGGGCTGCCTATAATTGCCTGGGGTTGGCGATTCATCTATATGCAGGGATCGTCGCTAACTTGTCATCCCGGACGCAGGGAGAATTCCGTCATGCCACGCGATGGACAACGTGGGGCGCGGCGTAGCACTGGGATTAGGCACGTGGTTATCAGAATAGGGAAAGCCTCCTGCTTCTTATTACTGACATTCTTCCTTCTTGGCAGAGGTAGGTCTAACGTGTGATCTGACGATGCTGGTATAGCAACCCGTTCCTATCATGTAGTAACAAAAAGTTAGTCAAGACCAAGTCGGGCGCGATGTGTGCAAGCCTCCGGTCTGAGGAGTCGGAAACACCTCTATTCAGGAAATGATGAAGAGTAAAATGATATTGAACCCATGCTGACACAAGGTCGATGTGATTATAATGGCTAGTTGACTTCCGTAACCCGTGATCCCTGCTGTGTCTACTGAGCATGAAACAGCGGTGTCGACCTGTTTGACTCCACATCTGTTCCGTGATCCATCTGGAACGTCGTGCTCACGACGATGCCTCCGCCTTTCTCTTCTGCCAGAACGGCCCCGCTGGGAGGCGCTGTGCGCGCTGGGTCCTTGACGAGCTCGTCCTCCGAGTCGTTGCTCTTGTGTGTACCTCCAACAATGTTGGTGGTGATGCGGCTCTGCTGCGTGCGTCGACTGCGTGCGTGGCCAGCGGACGAAAGCTCGTAGTGTCGGTAGCCTGAGTTGGTGCCTGCAGAGGAGAAGTGGCCGAGGAAAAGGGTTCGAAGGGCTGTGAGCGATATGTTAGCGACTATCGGTTCATCAAGGCTGGGTTAAAGGAATGGGCGGACGTACGAGGGAGACAGGTGGCGATGATGGCTACTGAAGCCTCAATCATGGACACGGTACAGGTGAGCATGGTCTCATTACGCTTCGAGTAGTACGCGCGAATAACTGTGGATGGTTAGCGATATGTCGCTACACATCAGGACCACTTGAAGACGTACTGCTTGCAATGACAACGAGGAAGCCTAGGGCGAAGATGGCGGCTACACCAAGCTTCTGCTTCAACTTCATTTGGAGCTTCATGACCATGGAGATGGGCAAGCTGATGACTGTAAGGCGTTAGTTTAGGAGACATTTTTCATGTTGGATTCGATCGAGTGCAACTCACGGATGACATCGGTGCCAATGTTGACTGCATATTGTCAGCTTCGTTCTCCGAAAAGGGGTCAATGTCGGAAAGGCTTACGGATGATTGTCAACCAGTAGTTGATCTCTGCATTTCGTGGGTCGCATTGGTCTGCCATACAGTCAATACATGCCATGTTAATGTTGCGGCACCTTGAAAACTTACAGTCCGGATCCTGCGACCAGCGCTTGTCATGGGGGAAGCACTGGAAGAGGATATGGAAGAAAATGGTTGCCCACGAAGCGACCAGCACGCACAAGGCGCCGTTGTAGATCTTCTGGAGTGTTGAGCCGACCGCCGCAATGCGCTTGTAGAAGATGACCAGCGCGATCTTGATAGCCCACAAGGTGGTGACATAAAGTACGGATCCAGGCACAATCATTTGCATGATCTTCTTCATCTGTTCGTGGTCGACATTGGCCATATCAGACATGCCCAGATTGAACATGTGCTGCTGGATAACCAGGTCGCCAATGAGGCAGCACAAAGCCAGGATGATGAAGCCATCGTCGATACCTAGACTCCTGAACTTGCTAATGCGAATCCACAGCCTCGCAACGACGAAGGCGAAGGCCACCGCGGTGCAAATGTACCATGACACCTTTCAAGAGTAAAGATCGTCAGCTAGATACAGGCAAGGCAGAGATCTTCGAGCGTCTCTGAAGTACCTGCATTAATTTGCAGCAAGGAGGACTGTACATACCACTTGTCCGTGATCTTTGGCCATTGCGATTTACGATTCAACAGACTGACGATTCTCTCTGTACTAGGTGGACCGGCGGACCTGCGCGCACGGAGAGAAGATGGTGGGATGGGGATCCGTCTTATTCCTCACCTCGCCCCTCCATGGCTTGATCGACATCCACAAGGCCGTTTTTTCGTCGAGGCGCTAGCCCCTGAGGCGGCTCGTCCATGGCACGATCAAGAGGTGATAGCGTACCTTTCGTCCGTCCTCTAGCGCAATTCGAGGCGTCTCGAGGAGGCCCGAGGCAGGGAAGAAGCTTGCTAGGGGAACGATTCCGCGACCATCCAACCACCAAGTTGCGAGTCATGCGTCGAGCCTCGCCTCACCAGTTACACGCTTGGAAAGCCTTTCCCGCTTCACCCGCTGTCTGTTCTCGATATCGGCCTTTACTATTATCTCGGCGGAGGGCGCAACGGCTGCGGGGTTTGGCGTTGCAACACCGATTTGCATATCTCAGAAATGCCACTGCAACGCTTAGGTCCCATTCGTTCTGCACGCGAGTCGTCGCCGTTGCCACTTCCAGGCTTCCCACGAGTTCTCCATATGAAAGCCATCCTGTTCCACCGACCGGAGAAATTGACGCAAGGGCTGCTGCTGTGACCCCCTATCTGGAAGACACCACACGTGGTCGGCTGGGATTGTAGGGCACAGGATGCCGAAATCATGTCTCACATTGTCTGCACAGGGCTCGCTTCCTGTTGCTTGCACGACACGAGCACACAGCGGCCCGGTCCAATGCAAGACTCTTGAGCCCACTACTGGTGGAGATGTGCTGCAGTGGACTGGACTTTCTTCGGAAATGAAACTAGCCATGAACTTGGCGTTGTGAGGCCCAGTTTTGGGGACTTGAGACCCTGCGACTCTGTCGTCGAGGCAGTGCCGAAGCCTACATGTACGTTCTGTGTTTTCAGCTCAGTCGTCCTCTAGGTCTGCAAATCCATACTGCTTTGAGCCCTAGCATTTCGCCGAGTCGTCATCACTGCGGCACACCAAATCTGTCCACCGGCCGAAAAAGATTCTCTAGACAGGAATATTTCTTTGTGAAATTGGGAGCTAATCCGACCTGAAGATATCTTCAGAGACATTTCATCGTATCCAGTTCAGCGCGAGTATCGATTTCTTCGCATCACGGACTCACCTCGCCGAGATGTCTCCGAAGACGAAGAGCCGTCAGTGACTCCCTACCTCGCCCAGTCATGGCCGTGCCCCTCCTTCCATGAATTCCCCATGTTTCTACTGCATCTAGAACCCAATAAATCTTTGTCAAGCCCTGTCAATGATCTCCTGAAGGGTTCATGATCAGGCAACACCTGGCTGCTGCGTCGGACCCTTGCTCAAGCTCGGGTTATAGAGACGGGAGAAGGATCGAATCCGTACTGCCGGTGGAGATTTTCGCTCGTCGCCACTGATCCGGGATCCTGGTCTTTCTCCACCCCGAGAGCCGTCACCGTCAAGCCGCGCTGTAGGGGGATCCGATAGTACCGATAGTGCCAGTACCGTCTGCCCTGCCACCGGCAATGCCGCCGCCAGTTCTGCTAATGACCATCGTGCCCAATCTGGCGGTAGTGTGCTATGGAGAGAAATCCATTAATGTTCCCGGTCGCCCGCCTCCCCTCTGCGAGCAAGAAATGAAGGACGTGTGCCCAGCAGTCTTGTCAAGTCGATCTTCACCCTTTTTCGCACCTCCTCAGTAATCCGCCAGAAGCCGTGCACAATGGGTCTCGTCAATGTCTTCACCAGAGCCGCTAGCCTAGCGGCTGTGTCGTGCTTCTTCCCCTCCACAGCAGCCGCTGCGGCGACGAGCGTCCCGAGCGCTGTCATCCCGCAGGGAACCATTCGAGGCTTCCGCGACACACACGGCAATTCGGTCTTCTTGGGCGTCCCCTTCGCCGCTACGACTGGCGGGAAGAACCGGTATGTTCCCCGTAATCTTTAGGGTCATGGCGATCTGAACTCAGCTGCCGCCGCCCATGACCCCCGTGTCCGAGCGCATTTCACTAACATTCATCGATCAGATGGCGTGCCCCTCAGGATGTGCCCGCCTCGAATGCGGCATTCGACGCGACATCGTACGGTTCGACCTGCCCCCAGGCCATCAGGGGCACCTTGTTCTCTCAGCAGGGCGAGGACTGCCTGAATCTCAATATCTGGGCGCCCGCCACGGGTGAGAACCTGCCTGTAAGTCTTCTTCACGCCACGCGACGGCTGGCGTCTCGTGGTGATGATGGTGTCGCCACTAACACGTATGACCAGGTCTTTGTCTACATGTACGGCGGTGCCATGGTCACTGGCTCAAGCAGCGATCCCCAGCTGCAAGGAACCAACTTTGCTCGTAACGATGTCGTCTACGTCAACTTCAACACGCGTGAGAGCATCTTCGCCTCGCCGTACTCGTCCGAGCTGGATGCTGCCAACCCCGGCGAGTCCCAGAACTTCAGCATTCTTGATGTTGAGAAGGCCCTTAACTGGGTTCGCGAAAACATCAAGGGTGAGTTTCTATGAGCGGCCGACTCCAAGTCCGTAATGCTGACAATCTTCCAGCTTTTGGTGGTAACCCTGACCACATCGTCTTTGGTGGACACTCTTCGGGCTCCGTGCAGGTGGACCACTATCTCTGGAACCACCCTGACACCTGGCTCAAGGGTGCCGTTGAGATGAGCGCCAACGCCCTGTCTGGCCCCGGCTACGCGCCCCAGAATGAGGCTCTGGACATCGTTGCCGCCGAGGTCGGATGCCCGGCCGGCGGCCAGGGCCAGATCGACTGCCTCCGTGAAGTTGATCTCTACGCCTTCCAGACTGCCAACTTCAACGCAACCTCCAACACCTGGTTCACTCCCGTCATCGACGACATCACGCGCCACTCCGACTATGCCGGCGCTTCGCCGCCGGCAAGTACGCCTCGCACGTTCCCCTCCTGACCGGGACCTCTGAAGGTGAAGGCACATCTTCATATCGTTATGGCGGCCGAACACGAACTTTTCGTCCTGGA